CTACCCGGGCAGCTCCGCACCCGCGCAGCCGGCGGCGGAGCGCGGGGTCCCAGCGGCCTGCCTGCACCTGCCTGCACCTCCGTGCCCCGCGCGACCCCGCGCAACTGCGCTCCGCGCTTCCTACGCGCCTTCAGACAGGAGCCTTCCTGCGTTAGGGCTTCCCTGAGCCCAATTACCTCCGCGGGGTAATTAGAGCAGATCTTGCAGTTACATGCCTTGCCCAGCACCATTTGCTTTTTGTGGGGGAGAGAGAGAAAAGGCTCTTAAAGGCGTAGGGTGCAAAGCGCGGAAGAAAAAGGAGCTGCAGCCCCGACAAAAAAGTGCGTTATCCCAGGGCAAAGGGGGGGTGCGCAGGTTCCCGCGGATCTTGCGCGGAGCAGCTCCGCGGCAGCGCCGGGCACATCTCCCCCAGCCCCGTCTCTGCTCCCTGCTCTGCCTTTCCACAACCAGCCCAGGTTGTTCAGCCTCCTCTCACCTCCTTTCTCTTTCTTTCCTGGGGTGACAAGGGAATATTTATGTCGGTATTAGAGGAATGCGTTTCCTTCTCCAATCAGGAATGCAACCGGAGTTTCTAATTATAAGTTAGATGGTGGCTGGGAATAAAAGATTGCTTTTTAATGACTCCCGTCCAGGTGCTCTTTCTGCCTGTCTTCCCAAGAACACATTTGCATTTTATTGCTTTTCTCCCATCCCAACGAATTCCCTGCTTTCAGACATACCTGAAATAGTTGGAAAGGCTGCCTTCAACACCCTCACCTCTGCACCGCCGGGCTGCGCGGCCGCGGCCCCCGATCGCCTCCGCATGCCGCGGATCGCACCTGAACCCCGCTGCCGCCCCTCAGCAGATGGGGGGAGGCAGAGATTAAATGCGCTTCGAAAAATTAATTATTATTATTATTATTAGCACTTTTTTGGACGCTTCTGAGTTATTTACAGCCCCGCCCCGGGTGCGGAGCAGCCCCCGCTCCGCGCTGCGGCCGCGCAGCCCCCTCTTCCCCTCCGCGGGTGCGGGGCTGGCAGGGCCCTACCCGGGCCGCTCCGCACCCCCGCCGCCGAGCGCGGGGTCCCAGCGGCCTGCCTGCACCTGCCTGCACCTCCGTGCCCCGCGCGACCCCGCGCAACTGCGCTCCGCGCTTCCTACGCGCCTTCAGACAGGAGCCTTCCTGCGTTAGGGCTTCCCTGAGCCCAATTACCTCCGCGGGGTAATTAGAGCAGATCTTGCAGTTACATGCCTTGCCCAGCACCATTTGCTTTTTGTGGGGGAGAGAGAGAAAAGGCTCTTAAAGGCGTAGGGTGCAAAGCGCGGAAGAAAAAGGAGCTGCAGCCCCGACAAAAAAGTGCGTTATCCCAGGGCAAAGGGGGGGTGCGCAGGTTCCCGCGGATCTTGCGCGGAGCAGCTCCGCGGCAGCGCCGGGCACATCTCCCCCAGCCCCGTCTCTGCTCCCTGCTCTGCCTTTCCACAACCAGCCCAGGTTGTTCAGCCTCCTCTCACCTCCTTTCTCTTTCTTTCCTTCCCCCCCTCCCTTTTTTTTTTTCCTTTCCCCCTAAATATTCCTTAAAGCGAAGGGGAAAAAAGAAATGTTTTCATCCTTTCCCCCCCTTCCTTCCACCTGACTAGCTCGAAATCACCTTGAAATGCTCATGTCAACTTGTATCATTATCTCTTTAATTCAGGCAGCGCCTTTTGTTCTTCACAGGAGAGGATCAAAGCACTTAAAAAAAAAAAAAAAAGTAACTTTCCGATCGCTCTCGCTCGCTCTCTCTCTTTTACAGTAGGAGAAGGAGAGATCAGGTATAACCCAGTCAAAATAAACAAAGTGAATGCATAAATAAAAGAGGTGAAATGCAGGTTCTAAGAACTTGCTGGCGCTGGAACAATCCCACCTCTTTAGCTGAGTGGCAACGAAAGGAGAATTTCAAGTCATCTTAAGTGCAGGAGTTGCAGAGAAAACAGAGGAGGGGAAAAATAAATGAAAATGAGAGAAAAAAAAAAAAAAAGAAGAATAAAACTTACCACCAGATTGGGTAACTTGACAGAGCCTGACTCAACCCACAAAGAAACAGGAAATATCCAAAAGAGGCCATTGATGAAAAGTTGTCTTTCTTTTTTAATCCCATTTTGCAGATGAGGGCAACAAAGGATAAAGGTTCATTGTGAGCTGTTGGACCAAAGATAAAGGATGAGCCCACTCTAGCTGAAAGAGTTTTGCTCTTAACTTCAAGGGGTCAAGATTTTAGGGCACATGCTACCATTTTATCTTCACCTCCCAGGTCATCCTTTCTCACAGCAGCACATCAGGGACAAAATCTTCACAGTTTCCATCAGACTGGGTGCTTTAAGCAGATTGACAGCAGGGTGAATGGAAGATGTTGCTCCACATAAAATATAGTTTAATCCTTTTAGATTCTCTCCTGTGGCACTAAATGTAAGAACATGCCTCTTTCTACCAAATCTAGAATATATTAAAACTTGCCTGTTGCAAGAGATTACTTTTTCTCTCGGTTGTTTCTCACATACATACAGGCACGGGCTGTAATCGCAGAGTTTTGGGTGTTTGCAGAACGTTTCGCTGCAGCAGACTTAGCCCAAGCTGCCAGCTCCATCCTCCCACTGAGAAGCGCTGTACAGAAGCCCGGCTTCCCACCAGCTCTCCTTTGCACAGCCTCCTGCCTCCCGTGCACCAGGAATGAGCTTCACCCTCACTGGGGTGGATGGGTTTTCGGAGGAGCAGATGGTCAGAAAAAAAAAAAAAAAAAAAAAAAAAAAAAAAAAAAAAAAACCGGATTTACACCCAGACATGCACGCACACACACAGACACGCACAACCCCCCAGACATGCACACCCCTTCCCCACCAGTCCAACCAGCCAGATATCCAAGAGCTCCACTGAAGACATCTGCTAAGAAATCAACTTCTTCCATGCAAATCTCAATAAGGCTCATCCAGATCATCACAATTTGCAGGAGTCCCAGCCCCGGACTTTGCGAAGGCGCTGCTGCAAAAGACTTCATCCACCAGATCCACCCCACGGGGCACTAGTAATTGATCTCTTTTTTAATTTCTTTCTCTACATATTGTAACAATTTCTCTCCTTTCAGTGGCGGTGGTGGGGGGTGAGTTGGGGTTGCGCGGTCCCAAAAATCTGCAGGTTTTCGGTGGGGTGGAAATAAGAAAAAAAAAAAAAATCATGAGTAGTAGTATTATAAAGACGTAGCTCCTCGAGACTGGGTACGCGGTTAGATTTGCTGCTCCTCTGGAACATATTGTTTAAAGCTTGCTGTATCTGTGAGCAAGTGTCACCCAGCTGACGGGCTTTCCCCTTACCCTGGGTCATTTGAAAGGGGGCTGGAGAGGCGAAAACGAGGGGCTGGAGGCACTGGATGAGCTAGGAGATATTTTCTCCCTGGAATAACAACGATGATTCTCTTTTACGTGATTTTTTGGGGTTGTTGCAGCTACTGCCTGTTGGTTTTTTTGCTGGTTTTTGTCGCCCTTTTTTTTTTTTTTTAGGAAAGAGGGAGAACTGGATGAGATTTTATTTATTTGTTTGACTTTCTTTCATTTTATCTGTGAATCAGAAAAATTCTGTGGCTCACACGGAACAAAGAGAGGTACAATTTTTAATGACTTTGTTGGAGGAAGGCTGGCAACCTTGCATTAGCTCAAATCAAAATGCATTTTCTTTCTCATTAAGAATTGCATATAGATTTTCCCTTAGTAGGGAATATTTCTATTTACACACACAGAGCTTTATATGCATATATATAAAGATATGTTTGTGTTTAGCTAGATGGAGAGATATATTCATTCTAGTGAAATTATACTAGAAATGCAGTTCATTCGGGGATATTTAAATCATTGGGAATTTGGCAGGGGTCGGGCCCTGATTATTTTCTTTGGGGTTGGATGACAAGTGATTGCAAATGTGAGCTCTGGCAAGTGCTCCGAGATCTAATCGCCCCGTGTAGCCAAGCTCGAGTCGATCTGAGCGGCTTCTCGCTTGCTTCCAGAGGAGGAACGGATGCTCTCTCCGGCTTTCCCAGCAAATCCCTGTGGTGTTGGTGTTGCAATTATAGCGAGTGTATTAAATCCAACCCCCCCCCCACCACCTCCTTCAGCAGCTCCCCAGCCCAGAGGAGCCAAAGAGGCTGGAGAGGGAGAAGGGAGTTTTATTGCATAAGGTAGGATGAGGAAAAGGAGGAGGGTGGTGGTGTGTGAAAAATCATCTTAAGGACTTTCCCTCTGTATTAGAGAAAATCCTATCCAATTATAGTATTACTGGAAAGAACCAAACGCTGAGACTTTCAAAGGAGGGGATTTCTCTCTCTTTTCAAGTGAAATTGCTCACGCTGCAGACTGGAACACACACACACACACGCACAGAGCCGCTCAGACACCAACGCCTGCCCGGGCGCGGGGGTCCTGCAAGCGGGGGACGGAGGGGGAGGAAGGGGCAGGACACACATCTCTTCCAGGGGTCGAGCTAATCTCCCCTCCTTTTGTTCCTGGGGAGAGATTTAAACATCCCCCAAAGCCTCTGCCCCTCCCACCAGGAAGCACCAGGCAACTTTACCTGAAGGTACAAATTCAGCCACTCTCCCTTTTCCTCTTTGCTTTGCAGCTGCTATTTGGGGAGGATGGAGATAATCCACTTTGTCATCGGCGCACACGCACGCACACGCACACGCAAGCGGGATCGTATTGATTTCTTCAGCGGGCAGCATTGCTACTTACTCTGACGCCAACTGCTTTTAATTACACTGATAAAAAGGTAGTCTGGTGTATAATAGCTATTCCCGTCGCTAGGAACACTACTGTAGATTAGTTATCTATTATCAACATCACCTTTGAACCAGAGCCCTTTAAGGGGCAGATTTTGCAGTCCATTAGAGTCAGTAAAAAGACTGCCACGGGCTTTACGGATATGAGACTGCTGGCATTTGGCTGCCCAAATCTGCATTGTTTTCTCCCAACAGTTGTTTTTAGGGCCTGATGTCCAAACCTGGCTAAGCTCATGCATGCTGGTCCATTGGTTTCCATCCCTCTCCCAAATATTTGGACACGCATTCACACATATGCTTCGCCATGGGCAGGATTTGGCCCTCCGTGGAGTGACAGCAGCATGCCTTTGTCTTCTTTGCACTTGGCATTGGTCATCAGTGCCCAGGGAGAACTTCTGAGGGAAGTCTAGGTTGCAGGGTTGTGAATCCTCAGTGGTAGACACCTAGTCTCAGTCCTAGTGGAGCTCCAACCTGCCTCGTGCAGATTTTCCACAGTGCCCATCCTTACACCATCAAAGTAAACACCAGTTTTGGTTCATGATTTCCCCAGGAGGTGACTGTCAAATGGGAGAATAAAGTCTTCACCATGCTCGCACCCGTGGGGCCAATTCCTCAGCCCCATAAGCCTGCTGTGAAAGGAGGTGAGTAGTTTCAGTTATCAAGCTGGCATGAGGAAAAGGGGATGGGAGGACATGGAGCAGGCCTCATCGTCATGGGGTTGGAATGCCTTATGAAGGCATTGCAAGCTGGTCCTATCTTGCTTATTCATGGGGATGGCCCAGCTGGCATCTTCAGGGCCCACTTGAGTGTGTAAATAGAGCTGGATTTAGAAACATGACTGCTTCACGGTACAGTTAGTCACGAGAGGGAACAGCTGCGCTCGCCCATGTTCAAAAAAAGGCACGTCCAGGGTGCTTCCACCCCAGACACGTCTATGTAAAGAGATCAGGGGCAAGGAGAGGAGGTTTGGAGGGATCCAGGCAGACAGGAATGCGGGCAGACTGGTGCAATGCAGCCCATCACACTTCACAAATACTCTTTGTGTCACTTCTCTTGCTCTCCTTCCCCCTCTACCCTACATGGAGAAGATTCGTTATGGCTGCAGGATGGGAAGATCATCCTCACTGAGAACAAACACAGAGCCAGTGAAGGCTCCTCATAGGGCAGAAGGTTTTGCTTATTTTTCGTGGAGGAGAGAAGTGCATTCTGCCCCTTCTCTAATATTTGAATTTCCACTAGTAAAATCTGATTCATTATATGCTTTTGTAAACTGCAACTGGAACTAGTTCTTGCTGGAAGATGGTTAATTTTCCTCATTTGCAATTTACTCACTGTCTGCCCCACACATCGCTCTCTGGACGCACTGGTCTTTATAGCTGGGTAGAGCCGTCATGGCCGTGTGAGAAAGCCATGGCCTATTTTTTCTTCCATGGCAAGAACCCCACATTGCAGCACGTTGTGACAATGGGAGCACCAGTAAATCCCCACCAGGCAGCTTTGTAACCCACCCTCCCTAAAGCCAGCCCTGGTGAGGAACCCCAATAGCATGTAGGAGTTGCTACAGATATCTGGAGACCCAGATACCAAAACATGCTGTGAGCACTAAACCTCCTCCCTCGACTGATGCTTGGAAAATATCATATAAATGCTGGGATCCTAGATGCCTGGGCACTGGGTTGCTGGAAGCCTGGCTTTGCCACGGGTCTGTTGACTTGTGGCATGTCATTGTGGTTCTCTCTTTCATTTTGCCTCTGTGGCTTTTAAGGTCCCTGAAGACTGAAATCCATGTCATCCATGTCATCCATACATCTTGACCAGGAGCCACAGCAGAACAAATAGTGACAAGGTAGGTTAATATTGATCTCATCAGATGTGAAGAATGAGGCAGAAGATGTATAATGGCTGGCTCATGATGTGATTCAGTGGTGGAACTGGTGAAAAGATGGATTTTGCTGGTAGATTCATATCCCTTCTTCAAGACAGGTCTCTCTGTGACCAGCTGGTTTTACCGAAGAAAGGTCACTGCTGTCCAGAAGTGGAGGTTGGTCAGTGTTAGAGATGGAGAGGGTTTTTAGAAATGTGCCAAATATACTGATAGCACAGACTTCACCTTGCCTGACTACAGCTGTCCAAATCCTACTTACATACTGTTGGCTGCCTCCATGATCAATGGTGCAGCGGAGACCTGAGCAACTCAGCCCACTGTAAATACTAGTCTATGGTAGGTAGGTGAATTGCTTCTGCAGTTACATTTCTTTCTGTCTGGGATCTAGTTTAGACTTGGTGTCTAATCTTCAGATGGCTGAAGTTAGGTAAGATGCCTACAGGCCATT